TTTATTACCTGTATATGTTACTGTAGTACGGTAGTTGTCAGCACAAACCAAACAAACTGTGAATCCTATAGTATCAAGAATTTACTCATTTATTCAATGACAATCATGTCATCATCTTCTGGAACATTATCTTAACAATCCAATTCCTGAATTTCCTGGTGAATTTCTTATGACTACATTTCTTTCAGAATCAGTGGACCAAATCTCTCATGTTTAGCCTAGGGGGGCCTTATTTTGGGAGGATTTCTTATATTTCACTCAAAAGGAAACCTGTAAGTAGGTCTTATTTTCGGAGGATGTCTTATTTTCAGGGAAACATGGTAGATTTTTAGGAATAAGTTTCCTGCCCTGACTGTGACTGTGATAGAGTCCAGTCTTTTAGCTAAGCTTCCCTGCAGAAGGGGTAAAGGGGAGAGAGAATTCTCTGAATAGCTGATTCTCTAGGAAAATCCTGATCAGCCATGGTCCATTTATAAAATGGTGATCAGCAAGAACTTCCTGACAAGCAACCACTCCATCTCAACCAGATATAACTGATGGATTTGGTATAGCTCTGCTACCATGAGCTTCACAGCTGAACCCCAAATCCAGAGTCAGGATAGATTAGAACACTAGAAAAATTATTCCATATACACACTCATTACCAAGATGTTAGTTTAGCAATACCTTATGTCTTGATTATAGACCATAGTAAATAAAAGTACACTGGAATTCAACTTTACTTAATTTGAAACCAAGAAGCCAAACTCAACTAAATTTTGTATACTAAGGGCCATATTCACATAAGCTAGTAACAGTGAAAATCAGCAATTAAGCTTAGGTGTACCAGTTAATAATGTGGATTTTGTAATCAAAGAAAATATGACAAATTCAAGAGAAACATCAAAAGTGCCTTATTCAAAGTAATGTCCATCACTAGCTATACATTTCCCCCATCTTTCAGGTAATTTGTGGATACTGTCCCAATAGAACTTCTCTTGTTTTGAGACAAACCATTCTGAGACCCAATTTTCCACTTCGTACGTTTTGAAGTGCTGCTCAGAAAGTGCGTGTGGTAATCTGAAGGAGAAAGTTCTGGTGAATACAGGGGGTGGGTTAATATTTCCCAGGCAAGATCTTTTAATGTGTCATTAAGTGGTTTTAAAGTGTGTGATGGTGTGTCATCATGAAGCAAAATTACTTTGCCATGTCTTCTGGAATATTCTGGTCGTTTCATGATCAAAGTTTGGTTCAAATTGATTATTTGTTTTCAGTAGTGATCAGTATTGATGGTTTCACCTGGTTTTAGAAGCTCATACTATACCACACATCCTGATCTCACCAAATGCAGAGCATTTTGTATTCTTCTCTAAGCAATTTGGACTTGCAGTCAATGTTGATGATTGACCTGGATCAACCCATGATTTTGTGCGTTTGAGATTCTCAAAAAAAAAAAAAAAATCCACTTTCCATTGCCAGTCACAATTCAATGCAAAAAAAGACTTTCTTTCAGGCCATTGAAGCAACATTTTACTGATTTAAACCAGCGTTCACAAATATCTTGAGATGGAAGATGTTCACCATAAGCTTCCCAAAGTATACCGTAACTTTCAGCAGCACTTTCCTTCAAAATAAAATAATGAATTAAAACTTCCCACAAATGCTCTTTCTTGGCACAAAATTCAACATTTTTAAGCATAAAAATATCTATGATGTTAACACCTTCAGAAAATTTGACATATGAAGTTTTGAAGCTTACTGTCAATACAACAAAATAACAACATATCAAATCACATATATATCAATGTATATGTAACTATTGAAAAAAATCCACATTATTAACCGGTATAACTATCCAGATCATCCAGGGGTTGGATGTCTTTTTTTTTATTTCAGGCATTTGTGGAGCTCTTTCTTTAGCATTGATTTTAAGATAGCCTAAGAGTTTAAGTCTCCATGGACACAAAACGTATCACAATTCAGAAACTTCAGTAAGACACAATGCAAAAGAATCTTTACTACCACCCTCAAAGCTTCAAGACTTTTGGTTTTTTTTTTTTTTGTTTTTTTTTTTTTTATTTTACATATTTTATTGATTTTTTTTTTGCCCCCCTCCTTCCCTCCCACGTATCCCCTCCCTCCCCAGAGTTTTATGTCCATTGGTTGTACTTATATGCATGTATACAAGTCCTTGGGTTGATTTATTGTCTCCCCCAGACTCTCCTCCACTCCCCGTTGTAATTTGACAATCTGCTTGTTGCTTTACTGTCTCTATATCTATCTTTTGGTTCATCAGTTTATAATGATCTTTATTATCCACAAATGAGTGGGGTCATGTGGTGTTTCTCTTTCATTGATTGGCTTATTTCACTCAGCATGATGTTCTCCAATTCCATCCAGGTTGCTGCAAATGATGAGAATTCCTTCTTTTTTATGGCAGCATAGTATTCCATTGTGTAGATGTACCAAAGTTTTTGGATCCAATCATCAGCTGACGGGCACCTAGGCTGTTTCCAGATTCTGGCTATTGTAGATTGTGCTGCTATGAACATAGGGGTGCATATATCCTTTCTGATTGGTGTTTCTAGTTTCTTGGGATATATTCCTAGAAGTGGGATTACTGGGTCAAATGGGAGTTCCATTCTCAGCTTTTTGAGGAAACTCCACACTGTTCTCCACAGTGGTTGCACCAGTCTGCATTCCCACCAGCAGTGCACAAGGGTTCCTTTTTCTCCGCAACCTCGCCAACACTTGTCATTTGTTGATTTGTTGATGTTGGCCATTCTGACGGGTGTGAGATGGTACCGCATTGTTGTTTTGATTTGCATCTCTCGGATAATTAGTGACTTTGAGCATGTTTTCATGTGCCTTTTGGCCTTCCTTCTGTCTTCTTTTGTAAATATTCTATTTAGGTCCATTGCCCATTTTTTAATTGGATCATTCATCTTCCTTTTATTTAGTTGTATCAGCTGTCTGTAGATGTTGGAGATTAAACCTTTATCCGTGGTATTATTTGCAAATATATTCTCCCATACCGTGGGCTTTCTTGTTGTTTTGTTGATGGTTTCTTTTGCTGTAAAAAAACTTTTTATTTTGATGTAGTCCCATTTGTTTATTTTCTCTTTAGCTTCCATTGCCCTAGGGGCAGTATCAGTGAAGAAGTTCTTTTGGCATACGTCTGAGATTTTGCTGCCCATGGATGCTTCTAGTATTTTTATGGTTTCCCGTCTGATGTTTAAGTCCTGTATCCATTTTGAGTTTATTTTTGTGTATGGTGTAAGTTGGTGATCTAGTTTCATTCTTTTGCATGTGTCTGCCCAATTTTCCCAACACCATTTATTGAAGAAACTGTCTTGACTCCATTGTATATTCGTGCCTCCTTTGTCAAATATTAATTGAGCATAGTGATTTGGGTTGATATCTGGGTTCTCGATTCTATTCCATTGATCTATATGTCTGTTCTTGTGCCAGTACCAGGCTGTTTTGAGAACAGTGGCTTTGTAATACAGTTTGAAGTCTGGTATTGAGATCCCTCCTACTTTACCCTTCTTTCTCAGGATTGCTGTGGCTATTCGGGGTCTTTTATTGTTCCAAATGAACTTTTGGAGAGTTCTTTCTAGGTCGGTGAAATATGCCGTTGGTATTTTAATGGGGAGTGCATTGAACCTATAGATTGCTTTGGGAAGTATGGACATTTTGATGATGTTGATTCTACCGATCCATGAACATGGTATATTCTTCCATCTCTTTACATCTTCCTCTATCTCTTTTTTCAGTGTCATGTAGTTTTCTGCATATAGGTCCTTTACTTCCTTAGTTAAATTTATTCCTAGGTATCTTAATTTTTTTGGTGCGATGGTAAATGGAATTGCTTTTTTAATCTCTGTTTCTATAGTTTCACTGTTGGTGTATAGAAATGCCTTGGATTTCTTGGCATTAATTTTGTATCCTGCTACATTGCCAAATTCATTTATTAAGTCAATTAGTTTTTTAATGGAGTCTTTTGGGTTTTTTATGTATAATATCATATCATCTGCAAATAAGGATAACTTTACTACTTCTTTTCCAATTTGGATGCCTTTTATTTCCTCCTCTTGTCTAATTGCAATGGCTAGTACTTCCAGTACTATGTCAAACAGGAGTGGCGAGAGTGGGCATCCCTGTCTTGTTCCTGTTCTTAGAGGGAATGGTTTTAGTTTTTGCCCATTGAGTATAATGCTGGCTGTGGGTTTATCATATATAGCTTTTATTATGTTGAGGTATGATCCTTGTACTCCCACCTTGTTAAGAGTTTTTATCAGGAAAGGGTGCTGGATTTTATCAAATGCTTTTTCTGCATCAATTGATATGACTATATGATTTTTATCTTTCAGTTTGTTTATGTGATGTATCACGTTTATTGATTTGCGGATATTGTACCATCCTTGCATTCCTGGAATAAATCCTACTTGGTCATGGTGTATGATCTTTGTGATGTTCATCTGGAGTCTATTTGCTAGAATTTTGTTGAGGATTTTGGCATCTATGTTCATGAGGGATATTGGCCTGTAATTCTCTTTCATTGAGTTGTCTTTATCTGGTTTTGGTATTAGGGTGATGCTGGCTTCATAGAAGGAGTTTGGAAGTGTTCCTTCCTCTTGGATTTTTTGGAATAGTCTGAGGAGGAAAGGTTTTAGTTCTTCCTTGAATGTTTGGTAAAACTCTCCTGTGAAGCCATCAGGCCCTGGGCTTTTGTTTGCTGGAAGCTTTTTGATGACTGTTTCAATTTCTTCCCAAGTCACTGGTCTATTGAGATTTTTAGATTCTTCCTGATTGAGTTTTGGAAGGTTGTATTTTTCTAGGAATATGTCCATTTCGTCCAGGTTGTTCAGTTTGTTGGAATAGAGTTGTTCGTAGTATTTTGTAACAATCTGTTGTATTTCGGTGGGGTCTGTTAAACAACAGAACACATTTTCCCACATTGTACTCAGTCCGGCAGAGCCCAGGCTGTGGGCTGTTGCTCTTAATCCTCAGCGAAGGCTTCAGGCTTTGCCACTTAGCACATTCTCTACGGCTCTGGTTACCTGATCAGCACTGAAGTTGTTCAAGGAGACATTCTTCTCTTGGCCGAATGCGTAGCGGGCCCAGAGCTTGGGCTGCACCTCGGAGCACTCGCGGATTAGGATGGGCAGGTCAGGGTTCGACTTCTTCAGCTCCACGTAGCGTTTCTCGATGAATTCCCTGACGCCCTGGCTGCCAGGCGAGCGCTGGCATAAGTGGATGCGAATCTCCCGGAGACCCAGGTTGGCGCCTCGACTCGCCGCCGCCGCCGCCATCTCCGCGCGGACCCAGGACCCCAAGACTTTTGGTTTTAAGAGGGATAAAATATACACATACAGAGTAGCAGACAGATGGTAAATCAATGTGAGGCATGACAGAAGAAAAGGGTAGGAGGAGACCCAGTTATTGGGACCAACTTTCCAGAGCTCCACTTAAAACAAGAACAATGGACTTCAACCAACTGATTTTATATACCGTATTTTCTGGCGTATAAAACGACTTTTGAAACAAACAAACAAAAAAAGCCTGCTCAGAGTGGCCAGAGTCAGAGAGGTGGTCTATTAAAAGAAGAACTTATGTTGCCTCGGAAGTAGGGGGTAGTCTTATACAGCGAATATAGGTCTAAACCAATGTTTTAACTGTAAAATTGGGGTGATCGTCTTATACGCCGGAAAATACAGTATATAAGGACTTCCTGACAATGGACTGAAAGGAAATTATAGGGTGGACTCTTACAAAAGAATAAGTATTCACCTAAAGACAGAGAGATGTGTCACTTAACTTCAGTAGATCCCTTCTAGACTGGAAAATGGAGGTGACACCCTGAAGTGATCCCAACATTAGCATCCTCAAAGTGTTTGAACCAGTTATGTAGTCCTTCTCATACCCTTGATTTTTTAATCAACATAATGCAAAGCATGAACACAACACCTGCCCTGATTTCCCTCTGAAGGCCCATGCATTTAAAATAAACCAATTGATGTGGACAGGTAGTCAACCTGACCTTGATTGTCCAGAGGACTGATTAATTAAGGATAGATAATTGAAACTCAGATGATCAAAAAAATTTTTTGTAGTTGCTATTTTCCATCTCTGCTTCATATCTTGAGGAACATCATGTTCACCATCAAGTTGCCATCTTCACTCTTATTCAACCATGATGTCCCTCCCAGTGCTTTATTTAATAGTTAGCCATATCTCTTAGCAGCTCCAACTTGAATTTAAACTGACTTTAAAAATTGAACTTGACTTTAAAAATTTAAACTTGGATTTAAAAAAACTTTCATTTTTACTCCCCTTGGTCATTCTTTCATGGAGGTGTTAACAAGTCCATGTTACTAACAGGATGAAGGGAAGTGTGGGTTGTAGTGTATGGCACCAGGGAAATTGAGGCAAACTCTAACACATTGTGGATAATCATCTCATGAAATAAATTGATTATATTTGCAGAAAGTCAGCCTCCTGCCAAACCATCTGTTTTCATCATGAAAAATGGGACCAATGTTGCTTGTCTGGTGAAGGATTTCTACCCCAGGAATGTAACTATAAATCTCCTCTCATCCAAGAAAATAGTAGAATTTGACCCTGCTATCGTTGTCTCTCCCAGTGGGAAGTACAGTGCTGTCAAGCTTGGTCAGTATGAAGATTCTAATTCAGTGACATGTTCAGTTCAACACAACCATGAAACCTGGTACTCCACTGAATTTGAAAAGATGGTAAATTCTTCAGGTATGTCATATCTGGCTTTGGGGTCTGGAATTGTGGAGAAGAAAAGTTGGGGAAAGGGAAGTTGGAAATGTAAATTCTTGACAGATGGCTCTCAACATGGTGTCACATTAGAAACAAGACATAGGCCCAACTATACCCTGTCATGGCTGGGAAATTGAACTTTCTCCATTTCTGAGTTGGAATCTAAGATAAAATTCATCTGTTTCATCCCCATCTCTCTTCTTCACCAACAACTGTCTCCTTTATATTAATGATTATTCTATTAGACTCTGGAGTTAAAAATCCAAGTGAAGTCTAATCTAGTGTGAGGCCGAGACAAAAAGCAGCCCAGACTCTCATAGATTAAGAATCCTAGTTCTTCCTACAAATTAGACGCATTCCTGGATATTGGCTTCATGGTGTAATGATAGCAAGCCCTAACTGGTAGTTATGTTGGCTGTGCAAATAGTTGTATGACCTTAACCAAGACTCACCTCTGGTCCTCAGTTAACTTCTTTAAAATCTTCTCCAGTTTTAAAACCTAAAATCCTTTGAGCCTCTTGGTTGCCAGTGTAAGCCTGACCACTTCTGTTTGTTCCAGATAATCTAAAACCAATGGAAGCTGAAAACATACAGCAAACTTCAAAGATCAGCCATAAACCCAAAGGTTAGTTGAAATCAAAGGACCAGCTTCACAACTGAGGGGTAAAGCAAACTCTGGGGCCAAAAAATCACCAGATTTCAAAAGAATAAAAAAACCATATTTGAGCCCAGTTGGTTCCCTCTGACTTTCCCAGCAAAGGTTGGGCTGCAAGCATGCGTTTCCAAAGCTTGCTGAGCTGGGTGTAAGCAGCAGCCTGTGGTCACTGAGGCACCAAGCTGGGCTTGCAGACCAGGAAGAATAATGGTGACACCACAGCAGTGTTGTGGGCCCAATTCCTGGAAAGGAATTTATTCTTTCAGGGAAGTCACCATCTTCACTCTTATTCAACCACAGTTCATGCCGAGAAGGTGAACATGATGTCCCTCACAGTGCTGGGACTCCGAATGCTGTTTGCCAAGATGGTTGCTGTCAATTTTCTCTTTACTGCCAAGTTATTTTTCTGTTAAGGTAAGAATTAGCTGCTTCTTATTCCTACCTCCACCCGAACTATGCTGTGCATGGGGAAAATAGCAGTTTAGAAATTGTTAAGAGATCAAGAAGTATTGGAAAGAGAAAAAATACATAGACACATATTTCAAATTAATGAGGGGAGTTACCTCAGATGCTCAGCATAACAATACCCCACTTCCTCCGAAACCGGTTTGGCTCAGAGGTAGCGCGTTGGTCTGGGAACTGAAGGGTCCCAGGTTCGATTCCGGTCAAGGGCATGTACATTGTTGCGGGCACATCCCTGGTGGGGAGTGTGCAGGAGGCAGCTGGTCGATGTTTATCTCTCATTGAAGTTTCTAGCTCTCTATCGCTCTCCCTTCCTCTCTGTAAAATATCAATAAAATATATTTTTTTAAAAACATAATACCCCACTTCCTGTTATCCTTTATTTCAAGCCAAACTCAAACCCATTGTGTAGTATAATGTAATACCAGTCAATAACCCACAGTTCCAATGCAGGAGCTAAAGAATTGGAGCTGAATAAGGAGAATTAGTCTTATTCACTTGACTATTTTTGTTATTTGGCCATAGGACCATTGATGACTTACAAAGAGATCAGTAAAGCCTACCTAAAGTATATTCAGGGGGAGCAGAACTTGTCTTTGCCCAGACAAAGGGTATGTCAGCTCCCAATTCTTAATCATAGGACTTAAATGTATAGACCAGCTCATCATTGAGGTGAGCCTATACCCCCATTAATCATGAACAGCCCACTACTAGCTACTCAGGATGCATACTAAGTCGAGGATGAGACAGTAATTATTTACCAGACATCACTTGCATTCCCTCTTCAGGTAAACTTAGATATGAAATTCAAATCAGAGCCTAGGTTTTCCTATAAAGCTCCTTCTCCAAAACCCTCAACTACTCCTCAGTCTCAGCTTCCAGTCTAGGAACAACCCTAGACTTAGAGTGTTTGTCTAATCCCACTCAGCCTGCAAGCATACACAGTCATTCCTGAACAGATGACTGTTTTACCAACAGCAAGGACACAGACCACATGACTGTATGAAAAGAGTAGTACACTAGGAGTCAGAGATATGAGTTTTAGTCCTGACTTTTCACTAGCTCACTACGTTACCTTAGCCAGATGGCTTCACTTCTCTCAGCCTGGGTTTCTGCATCTGTAAAACAAAGAGTTAAAAGTGACTAAGAGCAAATGGGGTTTCATGATTTGTGCCAACACTGATAGTGACAGATGAACTATTGCCATGTGTAGAAGGGAAATAGCCATGACTGATTAATGATGACTGCAGTGGCACAGCCACAACCAATACTGGCCATCCCCAGACTATGTATGGCTATGATTCCTTTCAACACCTAGGGACTATGACTCTACATCAACTCTGACAACTTTCCTTCACTTGCAGGCTGACGGGCAGGAGACAGCTACACTTCCTAAAAGAAACCAAAGCCTACAGAAGTGCTTCTAAGGCTTCTGACTTCTCAGAGATTGAAGTTAACCGGTCCCAACTTTGCTTAAATGGCTGCTTCCCAAACAAGTTTCTCTTTGAAGGCAACAAACCCAGCTCATCCTCCAGCCTGGTGGAAAGACAAAGTCCTGGGGGGGTAGGGTTATGAGCCTGAGTGCTTTATATGCTGCTTTATAAATGGATATAGAGATAAAAAGGGACAGAGGACTCATTTTTTATTTCTACAATTGATACACTTTGAAAATGGTATCTTGTTCCTTTTACTTTCTTTGCCTTCAGGACTAGAAAGTGGGAGCCAACAGGTTCCCAGCTCTGTTCTCCAAGAGGAAAGCAGATTCTGGGGGAAGGAGGCAGGTGTCCTTTACCTTAACATGAAAGGCTCTCATCAATAGATCGGCCCTAAACTGGCATCTGGTCCAGAAAACCACTTTCTGCTCTTCCTACTACTTTACAAACAAAATTACATTTGACTCCCTAACACTCTCCGTGTAGGCAATGGGGGTATTTTAATATCATCTAAATTTTCTCCAAGCCATTCACAGAGATCAGAGTAAGACAGAAGAACTGCACTTCTTTCTATTCATTGATTTAACAAACATGAATTGACTCCCTCTAAAATTCCAGGCACTGTGCTGAGGGTTCAAAGATGAATAAGACAGGGGCTTGCCTTCAAGCAGCTCACTATGTAGGTATTTTTGGAGGAAGGGATAGAAATGAGAGCCCTAGATTTTCCCTGTAGAAACCATATATCCATTATCTCTTGCCTGCCAATCTCTGCATGGAGAGTTTGGAGGTCACTGGGCACTGACTCTGGCCTGGGCCCTTGGAATAGATGGCTTTCTGCCATTCATCTCTGACATGTCTCTTGTATTTATTAAAGCGCATTGTGTGTGCCTCAACTCTGGCTTTACCCTATTGTGACACCACAGGCAGAAATTTACCACAGGGCACTACGAATTCACTGTTAATCAGGCTAAGCTTATAGGTCAAACCCCAGCTTCCTGAGCCCCCAACCTTCAGGCTTTCTGCTTCAGGGGCCCAGCCCTAAATTTTCTGTTGTTGCTGCTTCTGCTACAGCAATTCACATCAGCAGTGTCCCCAGGATAGCCCATGAGCTGCTACTCCCGCCTCAGCAAAGCCTCAGCGGCTTCCAGGTGCACGCACTGAAGTAGCAGAGCCTAGCACCCAGTATTATGGCTTCCTCAGCATTCACGTGGGTGTTGAGTGGTGGTTTATGAGGTTACAAGTGAAAGAGCACCCCTCACCAGCAACTCCCTTGCCATCACATCAGCTAACTCCCACATCACGTCCTTGCCACCCAAATCAAAGAAAGGAGGCAGTAGCACTCTGAGTCAATGGGGTGAGGACAATCTAAATGGCTAAACTAGGTCCACCCAGGTAAAAACCATGAAAAGATGCCACACAACTTCATCTTGTATATGTAAAGAATGCTTGTTTCCAAACCATTCACATCTGTTATCTGGAGTCACATTAAAATGTTTCTCTGAAGTTACTAAAAACAAAATATCACATTTCATTTTTCAAATAAAACATATTATATATATATATATATATATATATATATATATATATATATATCCAAAAAGGGGCTCTGTGCCTTGTTCAAAGTCATCCAGTGATATTATTGGGATATTATTGGGAGCAGAACCAAGTTATCAAGAGTGTCCCCCAAGTTCCTCTACAATAGCACACTGCATCCCCCAAACAAGAGCTAGGAGTCAATTTAAAGTTTCAGCTAGACCAGATTGTCTAAATATAGGATTATCCTTTATTTGGCATATGAATGAGCCACCCTCTGGCCCACTTTGATTACCAGAAAAAGACATCATAGCACATCACAGGACCATGAATTCCTTCCACCAACAGGAGCCTTCAGAAAAGATTGAAGGCAGGAGCCATATGGGACTGTGGCTGCCTTCAGATCTGGAATCATCACACTGTGAATTATAGTTTCACAGGCAGCATCACGAGAGCCCTGGGGGAGACTGTTATGCACTCAATAGGCAACAGAACAGATGTCCTAGAGGCTGAGTCATTTGCCCAAGGCCTTTGGCTCCCTCACTCTGTTCTTTTCCTTCCTCTCTACAGCAACTGCTCTTCACTTGTCTGTTTTAAAGCCTAGCTAAACTGCTGCCCAAACCATCAGCTGCAAAGCCTCCTAAGCTGCAGCCGCAAGAGAGAGCCCTAGAGAGGCAGCACAGCACCCTGGCTCTGTCGTTAACCAGCAATCCAGCCTTGGGAACACCCTTCATCTCTCTTGGCTTTCGTGTATTTCCTATAAAACAATGTCTGAGACTTCCACTATTTCTAAGATTACACATAGTAACTCTAATATTAATAGTTGTCACGGCAGAGAATTCAGTGGAGGTAGAGGAAGGGGACACCGACTTCCAGGATGAGGGTGTATCTATTTTGCATCATAGAGTTCATTTCCCTGGAGGTCATTCTCTTCCCTGGAGACACCACTGAGCTCCAAACTGGGGACTTTCAAGCTAGAATTCTGGGATTCACAGACATGTTTCTGGGAATATCTCAATACTCTTCAGTGAAAGAAGAAATGTTCCCCAAATGAAGTAAGTGAACTGGAGGTGTCAACAGGCATCCAGGAGGAATAAAGTGGCTGTACTAGAAGACACAGAACAAATGGTAAATTGGGGAAATGTGTTTAAGTAGATAACTTTGAGTCCAATTTGATTCTATAAAAAGAAAATAGAACAGCTCACAAGAATGGATAAGTGATGGCGACTAAAATAAGAACACTTCTGATGGGTTCTTCTTAGACTGGCCCTTTGCCTGCATCATGCTGATACCCTCACAGCATACACAGCCCATACTTGTCATGCCCACTCTTTATCAGGCATGACCTGGGTAGTAGGGACACAAAGATGACAATCACTCAGACACTCAGTTCACTTTTCCCTACAGAAGATGCTCAGGTAGCAAGGGGACACCGAGTCAGAAATGGGAGATTCTCTGCTCCATCTGAAGCCAGTGTGCTCCCCTGAATGGGACAGGCATCTTATTATTCAGCAGATAGGGTAGGGCACCTATAAGGCCAGGTTGGCACACACGTGACTAAGAAGAAGTGCCATGTCCAAGGATGTGAGCTGCTCTGAAAGGCAGGCTGTGCTGGGTTTGTGCACAGACTTCCTGGGCACCTGCATCACCGTGGTGGCCTCATGGCACAGTAATAAGTAGCTCTGTCTTCTGTCCTCACCAAAGAGATCACCAAGTGGAAGGTTTGGTGGATGTACTGCACGGAAAACCGACCCTGAGTAAAATCTGCGTCATAGGCCAGTCTGTTATCCCTGTAAAGGATAAACTGAAAGGAATGGTCTGGCCTTCTTCGGTACCAGTATAAATCTGGATTTAAGTACTGGGTGTCATAAGTACAGAGCAGGGCTACTTGCCACTGTCTGGTCCAGAGGATGCTGGGTCACTTTGTCACACAGCGCACCCTTGTCTGTGAAGAGAAAAACCGAGGATTTAGTGAAGTCCTGCAC